TATTAGAATGGTTAACTATCTGAAAGTCAATAAATTTGGTTCGATTAGCATTAACTACAAGATTAACGTCGATAAACCATTTTCTTAATGTGCAATTTTTTTCATTGCATAATCAAGAATAAAGAATAACTGTGTCGTCAACATCGATTTAATGATATTTTAAATTCTAAAAGTCATTTATTTACATATGTTATGAAAAATAGTGGTCCGAGAACTGATCCATGAAGTAAGCCGCAAGTAATCAAGTAAATGTAATCTGAATCTGATTAGGAACACAGCATTTACAAAGTTGCCTCAAGTTTTATAATTAAAACTAACTCAAACGATTTTTTTAAAAAATTGTTCTAAGCAAGGCTCTTTAAATATTCCATACTCCATATTGTCTATTATAGACACTTAATGCGAAATGGTGAGGGGATGGGTGGGCTCAGGCTTATTATATAGACTCGCGTGACTGGTTTTTAGTGTCGTGATGCGTGACCTGTAGTGGGACGCGTGTCACCTGTAATCACACGTGACTTTAAGTCACCTTATACCTATATAATCACTGTGCACCAAACGTTACAAGAATCAAGCCTATTATGAATTCATCCAATGTTATGATTTTTTTTGTTATATTTTATTACGAATATCACTATCCCCTTATGTACTTTGATCTCTTGTTGTGTTTTGAGACATCAAAACAGTTACTGAATAAAAGAATAGTATAAAGAAGGAAAAAAATAAAGAGAAACAGAACATGATATGTGAATTAAACTGTAAATAAGGGACGCGTGCATAGAGCGATGTTGCATCGTTAGGATTGTTTGTGATGTTAGTGTTGAGTAGATCATCAAAATTGATGAATTGATTTACTTTCAAAAAGCTTTTACGTTTTAAGTAAATGTTATATGATTTTGATACACAGTGAGCGGGAAAAAATGAATCACCCTGAATAACTTTTAATCCTAAGGATTGGATTTTCCTCAAATAAATATCCCAATGAATAAGTTTTCCGTAAAATTTGACAAATATTTTAAAATAAGACGATTTTCTAGCTTTCAGCTCTAATCAATCAAAAATTATTTTTATCGCACTTTCTTATGAATTATTTATCATATGTTTCCTATGTTAGATTATTGCAAGTAAAATCAACGTTAATAATTGGGCAACGCATGGGAATGACGTCACCTGATTCGAATTTTAAAAGGTATATGAAACCACGTGATTCTTATATTAATACTTACGATTGCGAAGCATGTCTTTATAAAATTAAATGACGTAATGAAATAAAATTGAAGTTACCTTCTAAGACACGAAAAAATTATGGTAAATTCCGAATATCACACTTTAAATTATATTATATGTTACTAGTGGGCTGCGCTCCCTGCTCGCTAGCTCGCCAACTCCCGAAAATTGCTACGCAATCTTATATGGTTGCTTCGCAAACCAAGCTCGTTTCGATCGCTACTAACTTAGGTACATTGCAAATGCACAAAATTCTAAGAATTCAAAACAATCATTCAAATCCATATGACAACTTTTTTTTATTTTAAAAATTACATCTTTTTAGTAAATACTAAGTCATTAAAATAAATTTGAATTCAAATAAATGACATGTAATTCGCTAAACCTATCAGAAATGTGCTATAGTATAATTCGTGATATAAATCAAAAATAATTCAAAATCAAATAATTCAAAATCAAAAATCAAATAAATTCGTAGTATATAAATTCGTAAAAAAAGCGCTTTCGACAAAATACTAAAATTGAGATCTATCGACAAAGACTACTCACTTCTGCCTAGCTTAATAGTATGAGATTGCCGCAACTGATGCTCTCTGGTTATTTCAGTTTCCGTTTTTAAAAGCGCTATATGTTGAGCCACCTCAGCTAGATTTGGCATGTGACATTTTAAGCGGCAATCATTGGTCGATTCGCCGTGTAAGAGAAATAGTAACGTAAACAATACAAAGCAAACGTTGCCACCGGCGGAAAAGAAATACAGCCAAAATTTGGGAGCCACGTAAGAGAATTATATATATTAGATACTGTCAATCTTCCGTTTAGTAAATTGAACTTCTAAATCAGGTTCTAGTAAATTTAATGGTATGGAACCACACCAGAATATATAACAAATAATAATCTAAAAAATAAAGGTTGTATATTAGGTGCCATGAATGTGCAGGATGGGATTAATAGGGAGTTTTGGGGAGAGGTAAAAAATCTGCTATCATAGTACCTAAATTATTATGCACCTTGGTATAATAGGTGCCACAGAATGTGTAACTGCAATAAAAGTATTTAATATATTTAATTAAGCTAGCGTCAATAATAGTTTTGTAATTTTTAATGTCCGCCAAAAATCATTATAAAAATATTAGTGTTTTAACAAATTATTTTTTCGAGAATTACGATTAATTAATTTTAATAATGGGTACAAATTGAAATAATTTAATCGAATGATCGGATCTTCACGTTATAGGACTCAATCTTACAAGTTCGGGAGGGTGACCACGTATATGCTAATTAATTAGTACAGACGATACTTTAAGTTACAAAATTAGACACAAAAACGTACTTTCTCTGAATAAGCATACCTTTTTTTCCCGATGAATTCGGATTTCTGAGCCCCAAAATCTGGGAAATATAGTCCTCTGGTTTAGTGAGGAGAGCGGTCCAAAGTTTGGACCCCTTAATCTGCCGTATATGTAAAATTACCAAGCCGTATACGTAAAATTCGAATTCTCAGAAACTATTCGACCGATTTCTCTCAAGATGTGTACTTTGCCATGTAAAATTAGATACTTTAAAATGATGTAAAAAATTGTACACCTTACAATTCAAACTTTTTTCAGCTATTATTAAATAAAATAAATTTAAAAAAAAATAATTACTCAAATTTATATTTTGCGTGGAATTACCTTTGTGTAAATGAATTGCTTAAAAAGTTCTCTAGATGTGGTAAAATAGGCAAAAGTAAAATTGTCTATACTTTGGACTGCTCTCCTGACCAAACAATCTATGAACCATATTTCCCAGATTGTGTATTTGGGGGTCAGAAATTCGAATCCGTTGAAAAAAAAAGGTATGTTTATTTACAGAAATACGTTTTTGTGTCTGATTTTGTAACTTAAAATATCAAATATCGTCTGCACTTATTAATTAGTATATTCGAGGTCACCCTCTTAAACCATTAAGATTGAGTCCTAAAACGTGATGATCTGATCATTAGATCAAAAGTAATTCAGAATGGTCTGTCTTTTTTTTTCTTTTTTTTTGCTCACTGCGCATACAAAAATGTCGCAAAATCTAAAACGCTCTATTTTGGAGGATTATGCAAGAAAATAAACAAACGTTCAACCTTTAAAATGATGCAAATGTTATACTCAATAAATGGGCCTGAAAAAAATAGGATACCCTCGTAATCAAGTACCAATTTCGATACACTTTTATATTAGCATTGCTATTGCGTGACAGTTTCTCTTTAAATAAAAACTCTTCCGCCTTCCGATCGTAAAGTTGGCATAAAAAAAGAATCATCCCAAAAATGCGCAAGAAAGAAAAGAAAAAACATGTTTCTGTGCATAACAAACTTACATCACGAACTTGGAAACTTGCATCAGGCACAAAGTAAGAATAGAATCTTAAGTAGTATGCGCATAAATAATTGAATAATATTTCATTGGTATTCTGTACATTACCTAGTTATTTGCCCGAAATCCTACATTATTGCTCTATGGTTACCTCACGAGCATTTCACTAACAAATGAGCAGTTAACTATTTAATTATTTATTTAATTCCTTACTAGTAATGTATAATTTTGAAAGTCTAAATAATGTATGTTTAAAATTAATATAAAAAGTTGTTGGATAATATCATAGTCTGCTTTTTTTTTTACAGCGGTAAAGATCTACTTAAGATATCCGCAAACTCGTTCTAATTTTGAATATTTGTGAAATCTTAATTACTGTTATTTCTTGAGCATATTAATTAATTCTTTTCTATTTTTTTTAAAATAAACAATATATATTTGTTAAATAGTTGCGAGATAACTGGAAATGTGTAATAAATTGGAATAATCTCTCCATTGTTTGACATATATAACACCTTAAAAAAATAAATAAAAAAAAATAAATGAAAAAGAAACAGAGAAGTTTATTTTACTGTATATTTTAGGTGTTATTAATTACAATAGCTCCAGGATTTCACAATTGTTACATAAGCTTATTGTGCACATAACAACAATAAATAAAGTTTAAATATTCACAATTGCATGTGTTATGCTTTTTTTTATTTATTTTTACTTGTTTCAAGGAATGTATTTTATATATTTTACATTTTATGGTTTTTTAGGATTTCCTTCTCTTTTTAAAGGTTTTAACGGGTCATAGTTGATTTCCTTTTTTGAAGAAATAAAACTTTATACGTTGACATGATATATACAAGCAATGTAACTTTACTTATTTATATTGAAACTTTTTGTGCATAAAACTTGTTGAATTTATTAATGCAATGAATAAGTTTTTAGCAAAATAAAGCAACTTAATCATTACAATTTAAATATAAATTCACAATAAAAATTAATTGTAAATTAATTTTTATTATGAAGACCTGGTCCATGTTTCGAACGATGGTTAGAGTGCTTTAATGATTGGGTGCACATGTACAACAAATAAAATTTCTCTTACTCTCTTAAATTTTATTATTATTATTTTTTTTTGGATAGCACTATTGGGAGCATTATATGAATCTAACAGCCACCGTAGGTGTGCTGGTTGATTCTGATTCTAAAGAACTTATTTCGAAGGGTAATTTCGAAGGAACTAATGAGCTTAAATATATCTGAACTTACAAACGATTCTGATTCTAAAGAACTTAAATAATTTCGAAGGAACTAATGAGCTTAAATATATCTGAACTAAGGAGCTTAAATATTAAATGTTACCGGGAGTTTTATTTGGAAAATAGCTGTATTTATTGCAATCATTTCCATTTCTAATCGATATTTTCTTTCCAGCTTCTCCTGCCATTTCTAGAGCTCTCGCGTCTTCTTTGCCCCGGCGACCAAGAAGCGAGAAAAGACCCATTCCCGATGAACAAAAAGATGACAAATACTTTGAGAGAAGGAAAAGGAATAATATGGCCGCTAAGAAATCTAGAGATGCAAGGAAGGCGAGAGAGGATGAGATTGCTCTCAGAGCTTGCTTTCTCGAAAAGGAGAACGCCATTTTGAGAGCTCAGGTAACCACTCTGAGAGAAGAAGCTCAATCCCTCAGGCAGTTACTGTTGCAGAAGAGGCACAGTGAATGGTGCAAAACTTAATGCGTCATGTCTTTAACTGGACTTAAATCAAAGTGCTGAACAATATAACCATTTGCAATGAAACATATGCATATGACGAATGCATGGCGGAACAATGAAAATATATCTATAAATGTTGTAAAATTATTTGGGCAAATGTATGGGAAAGCAGAAGCAGTTATAATAAGTAATGAATCAATGAGAGCAAAATTTTATAGCATCATATCTGTGAATCAAGTGCAAATGAAACTGTTGAATATGGACATTATGAAGTTTATTTGTGACCAAGAAATATATCCGTATGTATCAACATAAGACGCTTGGAATATGTGGGTTAAAACTTTAGGTGTCAGACTTAAACTATGAATTGCAAAAACATTATTAAAGCATGTTTATAATGAAATATACGAAACTCATGTTCAACTTGCCTTATATTTATTTAATAGCTCTACAATATTCATTTAATATTTTTGAAGTTTGAAGAAAACTTTTGAGATTAGATTTTAACCATCGCGTACTTTTAAACAATCTAATTTAAATTTTGATTATTTCTGAAAACTTTTAGACAGTTATTAAAATGCAATTTGTACAGGGAGAAACAGTTGTAGCTATTGATAAACGGTTAAAATTAGTTCTTAGTCACATGGTTTAAAACTTGAAAATGTAAAGAAAATACTAAATATATAGATAATTCAAGAGAATAAAAATGAAAGCAATCGTTTTCTGCTTAAAATTTGAAGCTAATCTCACATAGTTGGTCACAATCGTTCATGATAAGTAATGTTGGTTACAAAATCAGGGGCTTTTGCTATGATAGCATTTTTTCAGATACGATATTTTCCCTGCAATGTTATGAATTGAACTAGATCAACTTCACCAGGCCAACAAGTATTTCGCGCTTGCCCAATGCTGATCTAGTTAAACAGAATGTAATAGTTAAAAGATATGTAAGCTGACGTAACTTCACTTACGGGTCATTCCATAGTGACAGACGTAACTTTTAGAGCTGATTCTACAAGCCTTTTTACTTCAAACTTAAAGATTAAAAAATAATTTACATAAATGTTTGTGGATTTACAACGCGTATATGTATAATTTTTACCAAGAATTTAAAGCAAAATTACTATTAAAAGGTATTTTCTCAATAAAAATAGCATTGCGACTAACGTAATATTTTTGCCATACTGAAAAATGATGCTTATATTATAAGGCAAATTTTTGAGAAAGTTAAGCAGGCATTTAAAATGGACTGCTATATTTGAAAAAAGTGGAAAATTTACTTATAAAAATATACTTCATCTTTATTAAAGTACAATTTTTTTGGTCTTCAGTATTACTTTTACCTGAAACTACATGTGACTAACGTAACCATCAAATAACAAGCAGGAGATACTACATCCGAAAATGTTTATTGTGACTAATCTCTGTAACCTCTACATTACTTTTACTTTCTTTTAAACTTTTTAAGTTGTACAATTATTCTTCTTCTATCAGTATAAGAAATTTCAAATGGAAGACTTTCTTTTAACTCAATTGGACCTGTCAAAAGAAAAAAACTTAAGCTTTTACAAACAGAATATCATCAGCTTTTGGGAAATTAAATCATCAGCAGAATATCATCAGCTTTTGGCCTATCTTTCTCGAACACCTTTTGTTTTTCGGCGCAAGACATTAATATGAAGAAAAAAAAAACATAATTTATTGAAAATGAAAAGTGTTTGTGATCTAATTTTTTAATATTTAAAAAGTTAAACTTGAATGTTGCATTATCTAAGATAAAAAAAAAAAACTACAGAAATCTTAAATTGCTTATAGGTTTTGACAATTTTAATCTTGGTGGAAATTACCGCGAAGTTAGTGATTTTTAAAAAAAGTTTAATAACTTTTCAAATATTTAAGTTGCTTGTTCCAAAGCCCAGAAAATTCTTCAAAATGATACATAATTATAGCTTTGCTTGAAGTGTAAGGCACTTTAAAAAATTTCACTATTTTTCGATGAGTTGTTAGGCAAAAAGAAAATTTTAGTCGAAGCAAAAGGGATGCAATCTTTCTCAAACTGGCTGTGTGAGACAGTGTGTTCAAAGCTTGAGTTGAAAACTAAATGCTTTCATTTCTTGTTTACTGTGATGCATTTAGAATATTTATTTGGACTATTTTCAAGTTATAAATTCTCTAAATCCTTTTGCTGACCTAATGCTGACATAAAAAATTATATAATTTATTATGATGTATCCGTCCAGGTTTGGAATATTTTAAATCACTTTTTTCATTTAAGATTTTGTTAAATGATAAAATATTCGTTTTTTTAGTTATTTAAACATTACTAAATGTTTTAATAAAAATTCAATGAGTCAAAAATAATTTTTCACATCTGTATTCTTTTACTATTTCTGAACCACACAACACAATAGTTTTCCCTTTCTTTCCTTTCAACGCTGAGACGAATTTATAAGGCTAGGTTTCGATTTCTTTTTTCTTTTTTCAATCAAATTAATCTTTCTTTTCAGATGTTATTGCATCAAATCTTGCGATTATTAGCAAGATTATAGAGAGAATATTCTGAAATTGTGTAGTTCTTATATTGAATTATTCCTGAATTAAGAATTGGGCAGATAAAAAATCAATTACTGTTTAAATAGACTATACTATATATATCTTAAATATGAAATATTATAACAGTCTGCCAATTATCAAACTAGTCAAAAATATTTTAATATTAAGACATCAGGCTATAATTAAGCAAAATGAAAGCATTTATTTAAAATTTAGTTTACACTTATTTGGTATGAAACATTTTGAAACAATTTCTTTGAACATGAAAACATAAAAATACTTCATTTCTCACAAAATAGAGTTGTTTCGTATGTACAACCTTCTAGTTTACATCGCTGTTGCTCTTGACTTCATTAATTATATAATTTTTAGCCCATCACACCTTTGCTGGGCCTCAGTTGGATTTAATCTTTTATATTGCATATTAAATGCAAAGAAATAAAAAGGAATTTTTATTTTTTAATTTTGAATAAATAGACAAAAGAATTCAGTTAGTTATTTAATGAAAACCTTGCAGTTTTCAATTTATAGATAAACACAAAAGTTTTGAAAAATTATTGACCTATTCTAAGATGAAACATAAGTTTTCGATTAACACGCATCTAGTGTACTATTAATAGAACAAATATAAAAATACACCTTGTTTGCTCTAAGGCCTGATGACCTATTCGTAGAACATACAATAAATTTCCATTTAAAATTCAATTTCAAATTATTGTTTTTTTACTTAAAAATACTGAATTGCGCATAAAGAGTCTGCAAAATATTACATTTAACAATAGTTTGATAACTTAAAAATGCATTTACCTTTCAGGTATAAGTGGCAAGAAGATTTAATTATTTTATGTGTTTTCTGGGCCATTATTTTAGATATCTTGCTTCTATTTTTGCATGTATAATTAATAGGACACTAGGTTATATAGAGTAATGTTAAGATGTGTTATGATACTAGGACGCCATGGCTGAAGGGATTAACCGCTAAAATGTACAAATTACCATGTTTCATTGTTATTTTCTTAATTATTAGTTAACGTTCTGAAGTTGATTAAATATTTAATAAAGAAATTCTGCCAAATAGTCGAATGTTTTGTTTTATTTTTAAAAAAGTTAAAAGTCCTTGAAATTTAGTAACATAAATTTAGAATAGCAAAAATTATTAAGATCTGAAATAACGCAAAGTTTGAATAAAAAAAGTAATCTTATAATTTTATTTAGCAAAGGTTTAAATGAATTCAAACTTCATAAATAAGTAAAAAAAATTGTATCTTCCTTTTGACATTGTAAAAACCTACCTTTATATCAAGGTTGAATGGATAGAAAACTAAGTTTTCGAAAGACCATTTAGTCCGTGCTGTCATTAATAAAATTTAAAAAAAGAATAAATATTTAAAAATTAATTATCAAAAATTTGAGCCGGAAGATAAATTAGAGCTTTTACTGCAAATTTAAAACTGTCTGAAAAATGGATGTTCGCATTATGAGTTAATGAATTCCTTCTAAAGAATCAGCTCTTTCTTTCTAAGGGAATTGTTTGAAAGTGGTGTGACAAACATGCAGTGGCTCTCAGAAGTATTCGTACACTTTTGACTTTCAATTAAATATTACTCTATTCATTAATTAAAACGAATATTTCAGAATGTTTACAAACTTTTGCTTTTTTTAAAAATATTCCATGCAGTTTTGTTAAGAATATATTAAAGATCTTATTATTAAATAACCATTCTAAAATATTCACTTTAATTAATGAATTACAGCCCGATTTCATTGAAAGTTATAAGCGTATGAACACATTTAAGAGCCACTGTAAGACATTAGGACAAACTTTGAACTAATAAAAATATAACAATTTCTAAAAGTTTCGATCGTGATTTTTCAAACTATCTATAAAATCTTGGCAAAATTTTGCAGAAATTTTTAAATAGTAAAATATGTATATAAAATGTACCTAATGAAAGTTTTGGAATGTTTTCAATATTTTGGGATTCGATATAAAAATAAATTGCAGCTTTATACTTGATTACTGAAAAAGAGAAATTGGTATTTGCTGTCAACAATTTTAACTTCAAACGATCTATTAAGAAAACAAAGATATTAAGAGTGTGCAACTCATTATCATTATTTACGTTATGAAAGAAATAAAATAATTTTTAATTCTTGTTTTTAACTGCGTCAAAAAGAGTTATTTACTTATTACTTGGATAAAAAACAAAAAAATAAATAAATAAAACATAGAAAACATCTAAGTAACGATGGTAGTTCGATTCGATTATCGTAAACAAACTTTCAGATTGCTAATGCATCTCGATCATTAGCGGGTGCTATTCAACTACAAAATGCAAATGGCAGCAGTAGTGTTGCTGTGTAACAGACCACAGAGTTTGTGCAACAGTCTCAATCACGAAAAATAGCGTGGATAGATACATAACGAAATAACTTTGGTGGAGTGGCAACATTACGACTAGGAATTCTTTCTCTTTGGATTGTTTAAGCAAAAATGGTAACTAATGGTCAAAAAGGATTTTTGAAGATCACGAACGCTCGTAAAGTGCTTTCTTTCTAAAGAAACATAAGGAAGTGTTTATGTGTAACGTACAGCTATTTCAAGGATTTTTCTAATAAGAGTCATTGACCATGTAAATCTGCACTTTTTTCAATAGAAAGCAGAAAATAAATTTATCGGCAAATCGGGTGAAGTGAAGTGAATTGAGTTTTGCCTTTTAAGTTTAAAAAATTATCGTTTAAGGATGTAAGAATCAGCAGAAATGGCGTTGCCAGCTAAAGCATAAAAATATTTATCTAATGATACAGTACGCAAGTTTAGATTAAGAAAAATAATAAAAAGTCTAGTGAGGAAAGTTAGATCTTTGCCGTTCTAAAAACTTTCATCCTTCATTTAAATCTCTGAATAATTAAAATTATTAAAGTTCTTTTTTTTTTTAAATCTTTTTTTAAAGACTTTTAATTAGAATTATTTCCTCTTAAATTTTCAAAAATTGTGAAAAAATTAAATAAAAGTTTTTAACATATTCTTTTTAATTTTCTCTAAAACTTACGCTTACTTTTTCTAATTAAAGTAATTAACGTGGCGCAGTTGGTAAAGCTGTGTGGCAAGATAGATTTGTAGTCCCGGATACCCTGGGTTCGAAACCCTGCGAGGGTCGACTTTCAAATTTTACGTCCTGCAGTGGACTGATCGTTAATACACGGTTCCCAGCGATCACCGAAGTCAAGCATCACTGGCTGCGGTCAGTGTGCGGGTGGGTGACCACTTGGATTAGTCTGTGAAGGGACCGAGGGTGTGCGGTATTGGTCCTCGTTAAACTGTTCTACCGTAAAGTGCTCGACTTCGCGTGCAAGTCGTCGGGCTACCGATGCAGGGGTGCCATCCCCTCTGCAGAGGATCAAAACTGTGATGGTATGTCTTCGGATCATCCTCAGGGATGTTTCCCAGACCGTCGCCAATAGCCCATTGTGCAGCTCTAGTGTGACGTAAATAAAATACCTACCTACCTACCAACAAAAACTACGACTGTAAATAAATATTTTTATTAAAATTAATTAACACTTGAAGTACTACGTAATATTGAGGGGAGTGGTGGCATGTAACTCCAGCTGGAACATTAGAGTTTTCTTTTCATTTCTTTTTGTCTTGCATGCAAAAATTATTTTCTTTTAAAATCCCTTTCATAACTTTTTCTACATCTTCTGTTTCGTAAAATTTATTATTTTCTTTACATAAATCAGTTTTGGCGATCAGTTTCGTGATTTTATAATAAGTCATCTGGCCATAATATAGGTAGATAGATCCGCAATAAATCAGGGGATTGATGGCTCCACTCCCAGTTAGGTACCCCAGGTTCAAATCCCAGAGGTGAATGAACTCTGCACTTTCATACGAATTCCACTCCCTGCTCGCACTGATCACAGTGCTGACATGAAATATCCTCAGTGATAGACGAATCATGGATTAGAATCCCCTTGCCGCCTAGCTGAGATTCTAAATTCGACTATTTTTTCTTTTCTTAAAATTCTTCTTGATTATTTTCTCTTTCGGAGATAAGACCATTTTTTGTGTTAAAAAAATAGTTGCATTTACTTGCCCCCGGCTACACAAAAAATATCGA